TCTATCTATCTATCTATCTATCTATCTATCTATCTATCTATCTATCATCTATCTATTGGCAATTCGATTTGCCAGTTGAATTATTCCTGGCCTTTGAGTTCCAGAATGTTTGTTTGTTTAGGTTATTTAAATATTTGTGAGGCTTGAAGGGCACTCAACCCAAGTTGGTTACGATTCTGGATACTGGTGTCAGTTTTAGATCGCTGCCAACAGTGCTTTGGTGAGTGAAGTTTTTTCAGTGCCAGAACTGAACAAACGTAGACTGGAATTGTGAGAAGGTTTTCAGTAATGGCCATGGCATGTTGACTTGGTCAACAGTTCAATAAAGAGACACTGTCTGAATGCTACTGCAAGCTTCACTCCAGTTGGCCATCATCAAAAAGAATCACACGGAAGGGATCTAGAAGAATGAATGGTCCTCTTCTAGTTGTCTATGGAGAGTTTCAGTCATCCAGGTCATGGTTGTTCCAAAGGTGCTTTTTCAAAAGTCAACTGGAGTTTCTTGGTTTTTCCTTGAAAACGTTTTGCTTCTCATCCAAGAAGCTTCTCAAATTCTGAAGAAGCATCTTGGATGAGAAAGGAAACGTCTTCAAATAAAAACAAAGAAAGTCCAGTCACCTTTTGCATCCTTCTCCAGCTAAAGTCTTCTCCATATGTACTGAACAGGATGTTCTCTTCTGAAAATAACTCATTAAGAAGTGTAAAAAGGCTCAAGACACTTTCTACCACATGTGGTGGTCCTGCCCCAAAGCCCAAATTACTGGACTAAAATTAGGCATTGGTTACCAGAAATAGTAAAAGAACAAATTTTCTTTTTCTTTTTAATCTTCCAGTTGGTTTTCTTTTCCTAAGGATATGACCGTCCACTTTCTTCCTTTCCAGAGTCAAAGGGATTATATCAACACCCGACAATGCGTGCCCGCTAACCAAGAAGTCAGTCATGAAGGGGTATCCATGTCTTCTCACAGCTCCCGCCGATCTTCGCACACAGCGCTCTCCGACTCTGCATGTAAGGAGGTCACATCGGACACACAACCCCGTTTAATTTAATTTAATGCTCCGTTCTTCATATGATTTAGCTTCCAGTCCCCTAATCACCTTGGTTGCTCTTCTCTGCACTCTTTCTAGAGTCTCAACATCTTTTTTATAGTGTGGTGACCAAAACTTTGGTTGCCACAATGTAAAAAGGATGTTGAGATTCTGGAAAGAGTGCAGAGAAGAGCAACCAAGACGATTAGGGGACTGGAGGCTAAAATATATGAAGAACGGTTGCTGGAACTGGGTTAATCCCATTTTATAATGCCTTGGTAAGGCTACACATGGAATCCTGCGTCTAGTTTTGATTGTCACAATATAAAAAAGATGTTGAGATTCTGGAAAAAGTGCAAAGAAGAGCAACAAGGATGATTAGGGGGCTGGAGGCTAAAAAAAACCCATGAAGAATGTTTGCAGGAATTGGGTTTGTCTAGTCTTATGAAAAGAAGGACTAGGGGAGACATGACAGCAGTCTTCCAGTATCTCAGGGGCTGCCCCAAAGAAGAGGCAGTCAAGCTCTTCTCCAAAGCACCCGAGGGCAGGACAGGAAGCAATGGGTGGAAACTCATCAAGGAGAGAAGCAACCTAGAACTAAGGAGGAATTTCCTGAAAATAAGAACAATTAGTCAGTGGAACTCCTTGCCTCCAGATGTTGTGGGTGCTCCAACACTGGGAGCTTCTAAGAAGAGATTGGACAACCATTTGTCTGAAGTGGTGTAGGGTTTCCTGCCTAGGCAGGGGGTTGGACTAGAAGACCTCCAAGGTCCCTTCCAACTCTGTTATTCTGTAACCTTACTGGATCAATCAATAATATTTATTTGATCAATCCCCAGCAAAATTTTCCTTTTCTCTTCCTTCACCTCTTCCCAAATTTGTTTTCTACAGCTACATCATCCATGCGACACACCGATGCCAGCACTCCGACATGGCAATCCTTATCATTGGGGCCATCAGACAAGGTCTCCTTACGGCTTGCGTCAGGTGGCAACACCCAGGTAAGGCTCAGCATCCTTCCTGAGAAATTGCTCTGGTGATTCATCCCAAGAGGGGATAGAACATCTTCTTCAGATGAGCCAGAAGGTCAGATGCTTTGAACTCTTAGTGAAACAATTACGGGGTTGTCTTCCCAGAAGGTCATTATCTGCAGAACAAATGATAACTCACTGTCGGATGACTGGTGAAAGTGACCTGTCTTCTCTTTGGAAAGAGCAAATATCTGTGGTATATAGCAGGAACTATGAGAGGGATCTTAGTATCTTGGTGGACAACCAATTAAATATGAGTCAGTAGTATGCAGCGGCAGCCAAAAAAGCCAATGTGATCCTAAACTGCATTAATCAAGATCAAAGGAGGGACTAATACCACTCTATAAAGCTTTAGTAAGACCACAGCTAGAATCCTGCATCCAGTTTTGGTCTCCACACTATAAAAAAGATGTGGAGACTCTAGAAAGAGTGCGGAGAAGAGCAACCAGGATAATTAGGAGACTGGAGGCTTAAACATACGATGAATGGTTGCAGGAACTGGGCCTGGCTAGTCTAGGGAACAGAAGGACCAGGGGAGACAGGAGAGCATCCTCCAATATTTGAGGGGCTGCCACAAAGAGGGGGGGGGAGTCAAGCTATTTTCCAAGACCAGACAAGAAATAATGGATGGAAACTGAACAAGGAGAGATTGAACCTGAAAATCAGAAGGAATTTCATGGCGAAGAGAACCATCAACCAGTAGCACAGAAGTTACCTTCAGATGCTGCGGGAGCTTCTTCACTGGAAACTTTCAAGAAGAGATTGCATTGCCATTTGTCAGAAATGGTGTAGGGTCTCCCGCTTGGGTGGGGGGTTGGACTAGATGACCTGCAAGGTCCCTTCCAACTCTGTTTAACTTTTAATAGCTACTGGCAGGACAGGAAAATGTTTTTCTGTGCTTGGCATCTGTAAGGAAGAGAAGATTCTACACGAAGAACACATCTATGGAGATGGTCAATCATCCAGTTCATGGTGGTCCCGTGCTTTTTCCAGAGGCAACTGGTCTTTCTGGTTTTTTTCTTTGAAGACGTTTCACTTCTCATCCAAGAAGCTTCCTCAGCTTCTCTCAGAAGCTTCTTCTGCTTCTCTCAGAGCTGAAGAAGCTTCTCGGATGAGAAGCGAAACGTCTTCAAAGAAAACCCAGACAGTCCAGCTTCCTCTTGAAAAAAGAGCACCTTTGGGTTTCTCTGCCAGGTTAGTGTTCAACTCTTGAATGGAGGGTTTTGTTGTTATGTTGGCAAGGGATAGTTGTGGGTCTTGCGATCTTTGAGATGACCACGCTGAAGATTGTTGACCTATGCAAAATTTAATATCCCGGAGAGATTGCTGCTTGGGGTTAAGCTTTCTCTTCTAGCACGCATCTTCCTAGGTCTCAGATTTAATAAAGAGATGGATTTATAGCTATATAAAGGCATTGTCTGCTTACATTCTGAAACAGCACAACTGTCAGGGCTCTGGCGTCCACCCCATTCAAATCACAAGTCTCTAGCCGTATCTCTCAGAATGTTAAAAAAAAAAAAGAAGATTTATTAGGAGTGAACATGCCGGCGCTACCTGGGAGCAGCCAATTCTAAGACACATCATTCATTTTCCCCTTGACCCTTGTTTTCCCTCGCCCCCTGGATGTGTATTCTCCAATGGGACACATCCATAGCCAAGAGTCAGCAATCAGCCTCTCCAGTAATAATCTTGCGCGCTGGAAGCAATTATCTATGAAGCATTTAAGGAATGTACTCCTTCCCCCTCTCCCTTTCCGCTGGCAACTCTAAAAGAGCAGAGTAAGTTGTTGAATTGACAACAACTTCACCACTTTATTTATTTATTTTTTAATCGCCTTGAGTAGCAAAGACCCAAGTATCGTCCCTACTTGGAGATGGTCTTGAACAATGAAGATATGTATGAAACATGAATTAAACTGAGGCTGCGGAAGGCAGGAAGGGGATGGATTGTGATGTCTTTTTTCCCCGCTCCCTGTTTTCATCTTCGCAGGGCATCATAACTCCCTCGGACCATCTTGTGCCGCACCACATGACGCAGCCGGCGGTCCCTGCGCAACAAACATTGATGGTATGTTGTCCACGGTGCAAAACCAATGTCAGATATGCTTTGTAGCCAAGGAATGCAGAGATGAGGGCAGTAGTTTTTGGGTTTTGTTTTCAAAACGGGGCTCAACTTGGTCTCCTCGTTTTACAGCCAGGCTACCATTTCCCAACGCAAATGGGAATGATGCACCAGCTCAAGGAACAGCTGGAGGAGCGGACGCGCATCCTGCAAGCTGACATTAAGACGCAGCAAGAGGAACTGCACGTAATCAAGGAGCAGCTGCAGCTTGTGCAAGACTCCAATTTGCAGGTAACTTGGTCAGGTTGCTTTAGCAGGAGACTGATTGTCCTTGGTGGTTCTTCTAGATGGACCTCCGAAGATCAACTTCTTCTCCTTCCTCTCCTCCTCTTTCTTCTTGTCCACCACTCCTCCTTTTCCACCATTCCTCCTCCTCCTCTTTCTCCTCTTCCTCCTTTCCTTCTTTCTCTTCCTCTTCCTTTCCTTCTCCTTCTTTCTCTTCCTCTTCCTTTCCTTCTCCTTCACACCTTCTCCTCTCCTCCTTCTACTCTTTTTCCTTCTCCATTCCATCTCCTTCACACCTTCTTGTCTCCTCCTTCTCTTTCTTCTCCTCCTTTCTCCTTCTCCTCCTTCGCCCTGGTGGATTTTGATTGACCCCAGAAGCTCAGGCAGGAGACTGCCTGTCCGTCCCAATGGATCTTCTAGATGGACCTCTGAAGGTCAACTTCTTCTCCTTCCTTTCCTTCTTTCTTCTTGTCCACCACTCCTCCTCCTCTCCTTCTCCTTCACCACCACACTTCTCTCCTCCTTCTTGTTCTCTTCCTTTCTCCTCTTCCTCCTTTCCTTCTCCTTCACACCTTCTCCTCTCCTCCTTTTCCTCCTCTTTTTTCTCCTCCATTCCTACTTCTTCACAACGTCCACTTCTTTTTTCTCCTCCTCCTTTCTCCTTCTCCTCCCTGGTAGATTTTGATTGACCCCAGAAGCTCAAGCTACTTCTCCTTCTCTATCACTATCTCCTTCTCCTCCTCTTCCTCCCTCTAAGCAGCTAGTAGTACTCCTCCTTCTCCTTCTCCAATCAGTTAGCAGTACCCTGAAAGATACCAGCTTCTCCAGGTGCCTAACTTATCATTTTACTGTTGAAGAGAGAGCATTTCTTGGGCAGTTTTATTTCAACAGAGTGGTAATTATCTTCCCACCCAGAAAGTTCAAGATTCTGTGTTCAGCATCTTCAGAGAGGCCTGAGTAAACTCTTCATAGGAAACCCCAGAAATGCATCGCCCATTGTGACAGTTTCTGAGAAAAATCTTGGCCAACTTCCCCCATGTCATAACGTCATAACGTCAGATTATTCCTGTATCTCGCTTAGCAAAAACAATTCTTATAAAACGACGAGGCTGTTTTCTACATAAAATTTCTGGCCATTTAAAAAAAAAAAAAGCAGTGCACAGGTTTTCCAGCAAATAATCTAACACCTATTCTGTAAAGATTCGGCTTTCATTTTGGAGTGTTTATAATTTATAATTGGCAAAGGGCTGGCTGACCTCTAGTGGATATTCTTGCCATAGTTGCTTGTGATGGAAATTCTGAATTGCCTGACTTTTCAATTATTTCCTTGCCTCAAACGTACCGAAACCCTTTGTGTTTATGTCTTCCTTTCAATTCTCAAGCAACCTCCTTTCTCTTAAAGGCAACGTTTTAAGGCGTCTCCAAGACCAGAAAGTTGATGAACAAAAATGTCCTTTGACTTGATGTTCCAACTGAAACTTGATCTCTCTCTCACACACACATAAATCTACCCAAAAATCTACTAACACCAAAACCGATATTTCTTGTGCCCGTCTCTCCCAATCTGTGTCTTTCTTCCTAGGGACACTCTCTGCAAGTTGGTTTTGTGTAGCACAAGGTGTGTTTGCCTTTACTTTTCCTCACCGTTCGCCTTTTGTAGAAGGCTGGAAAGTATGACTGTGATGATCCGGGGTGTGCCAGAGAATAAATAGAGGACCCTTTATTAGCTCCAACTTTGCCCCCAATGATCCGGTTACTTTCCGGTCTGGAAAAAAAAACACTCTCCCATGAACCTGCAACAGCCTTTTGGCTGCAGATATTCCAGTCCAAATGCTGTAAACTGAAAACTTTAAACTATAAAATCAAGGAGGCAAAATAAGGTAATTAAATCCAGCAGGGCAAGATACGGAGGTCCAGAAAGGAAGTAACAAGGTAGTACATCAAACCAGTTGGGAGGATGCCAGGAACTCAGATAACAACAGCCAACGTGAGATACACTCAATGTTTGTTCCCAATGAATGCTGCTCTCACTTGCCTCTCCATTAAACTCTCTTCCCAGATGTGCCTAATGAAGGGAATCAGGGCCCTTTCCTCACCCATAAGACAAACCACACATGTTGCTCTCTTCTCTGTTCCATCCCTCCCTAGGATGAAGAGGGGGTGGGCCTGGGTCTTCCCCTGAACTCCCTCTCCCTTGTTCTACCTCTTCCCTGCTCTGCCCAGCGGACTTTGCCCTTCCCCAGTTTCCTCCACAGCCAATGGAGCCACACTCCTGCTCCCTGTTGGCTGTTCATCTTCCTCCTCAGATTCAGACTCCAATGGGGGCATGACAATGACAGTTGATAGGTTAACTGAGCTCCAGTTGGCAACGTGAGGTTCTCATAAAAATGTCCCCCTCTACATTTGAGGCTTCCTGGTGTCCACATCTCCCCTCTCTTGTCCAACAGATGTTCATGCAACAGTCCATGCCTGTGGTCTTCAGCACCGTGCAGTCCCAACCGAGCCCAAGGCGGCAACCAACGGGAGCAACCTTAGGGACCAGGCCAGCTGCACCCAAGAAGTCCCAACAGCAGCAGAGCATCATGGGATCAAAGCAGTTTGGCGGTGCTCCCTTGGCCTCCCAGCCATCCTTCCTCATGGAACCTTGTGTCACATCAACCCAGGTAATTCCCCATTTTCGTTTTACTTTATCGTGATTGGTGCGGTGGGGTCCTTTCATGACCCAACTAGGTAACATCATCCGTGCATGGAGGGAGTGGGGTTTGTGGAGGGGAGGAGGAGGAAGAGGATTTACAAATTTACAGAGTTAGGAGGGACCTTGTAGGTCATCTAGTCCAACCGCCCCGCTCCCCACCCATGATTGTGGAGCTTAGTGGTTTCTTGGCAGACATTACATTACCCAACTAGATAACATCATCAGTGGCTAGAAGGGAGTGGAGTTTGCTCTGGTTTTATATACTAGTTGGCTTGCCCTGTCAGCGTTGGTGGGAGTGTTGGTGGGAGTATAAGCAGAGAGCAAATTGTACTCCCTTTCTAGCACTGATGAGGTCACCCAGTTGGGTAATGAAACGTCTAAAAAAAAAAAGCACCAAGCTCAGAGAGCCCCAAGGACCCCACAGT